AGGTGTTATTTACTATATTATGTTTCAAGTCTCCAATATTCTGTGTCTCTAGGGCTTCTTTTACTGTCTGTACTGAATTTCAGTGAGTTCCCTTAGTTACCCACTTCACTGAGGAACAGTCTTCCTGTTTCTTGAGCTAAAGAACCACTGGGAAGTGTACCCATCCTCTAATCCATCATCTTCTTTCTCACCCAGGCTATCTTTGAATGAGGCAATCCTCTTGTCTAGCCTCCCAAGTAGCTACAGGGACATGCCACCATGCCCAGCTATTTGTGCATTTTATAATTGAGTTGTGTTTCTCTTAAGTAGAAAGTGTTCTTTAGGTACTGTCAGACACATATTAATATGTGTATGTGTATGTATGTTTGTGTGTTTGAATGGCATCTTCTCCTTTTTATACATCTTACCTTTTTAAAATTTTCTTTTTGGTGATGTCCAAATTATAATTGTTTTCCTTAGTTCTATGGATTTTTTTCCTAAGAAATCCTTATGTATTTCAAGGTTACAAAGAATTTATCCTACCTGGATGGTGGCATGTGTCCATGATCTCTGATATTGTCTGGTCTCTATTTATTTCTTCTGTGATCTTTATTATCCCCTTCCTTTTGCTAACTTTGGACTTAATTTGTTCTTCTTTTTCTAGTTCCTTGAGGTATAACATTAGGTTGGTTTTGAGATCTTTCTTCTTTTTTATTTATTTATTTTTTGAGACAGGGTTTTGCTATGTTGTCCAGACTGGTTTCAAACTTCTGGGCCCCAAAGATTCTCCTGCCTCAGTCTCCTTAGTAGCTGGGATTACATGCATGTGCTGCCATACCCAACCTATTCTTTTTTGATGTAGGCTTTTAAGGCTGAGCTTTCCTCTTAGAATTGCTTTTGCTGTATCCCATACATTTTGTTATGTTGTTTTTCCATTTTTGTTTATCTTAAGATATTTTGAAATTTCCCTTTTAATTACTTCATTGATCCACTGTTTGTTTAATTTCTATATATTTGTGAATTTTCTGAAATTCATGCTGTTACTGATTTCTAGTTCATACCACTGTGGTCAGGAAATATACTTGTTGTAATTTCAGTCTTAGGTTTACTAAGCCTTGTTTTATTCCCTAACATGCAATCTATCTTGGAGAATGTTCCATGTGCTCTTGAGAAGAATATATATTTTGTTGCTGTTGGATTAAATGTTCCATATATGTCTGTTAGGTCTCTTTGATATGAAGTGCTTGTTCAAGACCAATGTTATTATTAATTTTCTATCTGGATTATCAGTTTATTGTTGATAATGGAATACTGAAGACCCTTACTAGTATTATATTACAATCTATCTCTTACTTCAGATCCTTTAGTATTGTTGGTACATTTATATGTTCTCATGTTAGGTACATGTGTAACTGTTATATCTTCTTGATGAATTGATCCCATTATAATTATAAAGTACTTCTTTGTCTTTTTTTTTTTTTTTACAGTTTTGGGAAATAAAGTGCATTTTTTTCTGACATAAGTATAGCTACACCTGTTCTCTTTTGGTTTTCATTCATGTCTTCTAGCTTCCAGCTTCCATTGTAAGAAGGATGATCATTAATATCATCATTTCCTGATTAGCTGAGAGTACAGGTGTATACCACCATGCCTGGTTGTGTGTGGGTTTTTTTTAAATAATGAATACATACCATATTTTTATGAACAAAATGAAAGAATATAAACCAGACGTGGTGGCACATGCCTATAATCTCAGCAGCTCAGGAGGCTAAAGCAGGAGGATCATGAGTTCAAAGCCAGCCTCAGCAATGGTGAGGTCTCAGGTGAGACCCTATCTCTAAATAAAATATAAAATAGGGCTGGGGATGTGGCTCAGTGGTTGAGCTCTCCTGAGTTCAATCCCTGGTACCCCCTCCCTCTCCCCAAAATGAAAGAATACAAAGTTATAGGACCCTAAACAGTAGATCAGTGAACCAAAGAAATGAGTATACAATTTATGAAAGAACTAACAAATTAGTGTTAAATTTCTTGGGTATGCATATGGTATTGTGATTATGTCCTTGTTTTCAGGAGATCCATGTTGATATGTTAGAGATGAAGTAATATGGTGTCAGCAATTTACTTTTTTAAAAATAATGTTTTATTGGTATGCTATAAGTTCATAAATCCTTTTTTCCCCCTAGTTGTAGATAGATGGCATGCCTCTATTTTATTTGTTTATTTTTAGGTGGTGCTAAGAATCAAGCCCAGTACCTCGCACATGCTAAGCAAGCACTCTGCCACTGAGCTACAGCCCCAGCTCAGCAATTTACTTTTAAGTTGTTCCACCGAAAAAGAAATAGATATGTGTGGGGAGAGGAAGAAACAAAGACCACAAGTGCAAACAAGACAAGAGTGTGGGCTGGGATTGTGGCTCAGCAGTAGAGCGCTTGCCTAGCACAGGCGGGACCCAGGTTTGATCCTCAGCACCACATAAAAATAAAGGCATTGTGTTGTATCCATCTACACCTAAAAAATAAATATATTTTTTAAAAAGGAAGTTTTTTTTTTAAAAAAAGAAAAAAAACAAGACAAGAGTGTTGCTATTTGGGGAATAAAGGTGAAGTATGTATGGATAATCATAGTAGTATTTTTCAACTTTTCTGCAGTTTGAAAGTTTTCAAAATAGCTGGGGTACAATAATGTTTGGAAGAATTTGTAAGAATAATTATAGTGAATGGAAAAGGCAGGACTTTTTTTTTAGTAGCTGTCTTTGCATAGTTGGGCTATAAATTATTTTCTTCCTATTTTTCTGCACTTTCTCAATTTTTAATAATGAGGATATAATATTTTGGGAATTAGAAAAATAAGGTAAATGTATTTTTTAAAAAACAGTATATTTCAAAATATGAGTTTATAAGTAGAAAAGGATGCTTTGTTCCAGTAATATTTTGAAATGAAAGGTCTGAGATATTTTTCTGACAGGATAATGATCTTCATAATGAAAAGGAGCGAGTGATGCATGGATCTGGTATTAATAAGAGAAACCAGTTTTTGAGCACCTTCAAATATCAGGAACTTCACATCTTCAACTTACTTAATAATCACAGCAATGCTGTAAATAGGCATTAATAATCATCCAAATTCTTTAAGAAACGGAATAGTATCTGAAACAAAGTCCGTCTTGGATTCCCAAAGCCTGTGTGTGAATAGTCCCTTTTGGTGAAAAGGAATGTTTCTAACTTCATTTCAGTCAGCTGAACAAAGCTAGGCCAAAAGGAAAGTGGCTCCTGCCGGAGACTTAAAGTCTACTTTAAAAACATAGACTTAAAGAGCAATTAGGAGATGTCTTTGAAGTGTAAATCAAAGCCTTCCTCTCCAGTGCCATCAATGCATTTAGGCGAATTTCTTTTTATTAACATTCACGGCTACCACGTGAATCTGGATGATACCCAGTATAAATAGGAAGAGACTAACACATTATGCTACATTAGCAACTATTTCCTTATAAGACTTTGTCAATGGATAAACTAGGATCTCTTTGAAGACAAAAACCATCAACATCCCCTCAGTGTTGTTCACTCCTTAAAAATCATATTCATTTTCCTTTGAGAGTGTCAAATTAGTAATGATCTCTAAGGATATTAATAAGTGGGAAATTTGTGTTTTCTTTTAGTTAAATTCTGATATCAGAATAAGGCAAAAGAACAATAAGTATTAGGTTTTAGCTGGCTGAATGTAAAAAGCATGAGAAGATAATTATTTTTCATTTGTTAAATGTATTCTTTAAAGATCAAAGGACATATGAGTTGGCTAATAATAAATAGCAATTCAACCTTTTATTTCAATAATTCATTTTTTAAAAAAATTTTTAGTTGTAGATAGACACAGTTTATTTATCTATTTATTTCTATGTGGTGCTGAGGATCAAACGCAGTGCCTCACATGTGCCAGTCAAGCACACTACCACTAAGCCACAACCCCAGCCCTCAATAATTCATTTTTTTTATAAATTGATGTGTGTTCAAGAAGTATTTTTTTTGAGAGAGAGAGAGAGAATTTTAATATTTATTTTTTAGTTTTCGGCAGACACAACATCTTTGTTTGTATGTGGTGCTGAGGATCGAACCCAGGCCGCACGCATGCCAGGCAAGCACGCCACCGCTTGAGCCACATCCCCAGCCCCAATAATTCATTTTTGATTAATCATAAGGTTATCCCAGGTTGGCTTCCTGCATTTACACAGCATGCCTCTTGCTCACTTATCTTCATTTAATTCAGAATGATGATAGGATACAAATTTAACATGGGCTTCAGGAAGATAAACTTTAGAAGGCAGGTAAATAATAACAGAAAAAAGTCACATTACAAATTTCTAAATAAAAAGTAAAAGATTTGGGGATGTTTGTACCATAGTTCTTTCTTGGCACAGGAAATAAATATTGATATTCAATAAATTGATTTAATTAGAATTTAAATACTAAGTAGGGCTTCATGGTAGAGCCTTGCCTGGGAAGCATTACATTCTGGGTTTGATTTCCAGCACTGCAAAAACATTTTAAAAAGCTAGAATTTAAATGATAAGCAAACACTTGTTTCCATATCCTTTAAGAACCAGAAAAAGATTGTAATTTTAAAATATCATAGATCAAAAATTATGATAAATAAAGTAAAATCTAACTTAACAGGAATTTTGATTAATTTAACCAAAGAACAGTTTTGTTTTAATTATAAACTCTTTATTACTTGGCATTTACACACATAAAATACATATTTAATTGAATATTTTATATAAATCTAGGCAACTATTCTAAATACAAAATTATGATTATAAAACAAAGCAAATTCTATCAAGGAGGCATGTGATTTGGTGCTAGATTTACAACTGTCTATCTGATATGTCACAGTCATTTTTTGCAAAAAATTGTTCACATGAGAACTCAAAAAGTGAGCAATTCATTGTTAAAAAAATTGTTTTCATTATGTAGAAAATAGAACGGGACACAATGCAAAATAAAGATGGTAAAGTCTTCAGAATTTCTTTATATTGTTGCTAGTAAGATGCTAGAACCTAAAGCTATGAGGATCTCTCCAATTAAAATATGTACATCAAATATGCATTTAGTGCTTCCCTGGGAGAAATGATCTGTTAGCCACTTTTGGAAGAAGGATGGTCCACTGTAGACACCGGGAAAATGTTTTCGACCACAGCCATGTCCATAACTGGTAATTCCCATCACAAAAAATTGTTTATGTTCCGGTAAGTAGCACATTAATGGTCCACCACTGTCACCCTATTAAAAAAGTGTCCAAATAGTGTTAACCACTTCTAGTTCTTCAAGCAACAGTAGAGTTGAGATAAATTAATTACATTAAACATATATTTATATAAATATTCCTTTTCATATTCCTTCAAGTGATAGCATAGTATTTTTTGTTGTTGTTGTTTTCAGTCACTGGCTAGCTAACAGAATGAAGTGCAGGGAAGGACTTACAGAGAGATAGGTTGTGGTAGAGAGGCACCTAGATCACATAATTTTTTTTTTTTTTTTTTAAGAGAGAGAGAGATTTTTTTAATATTTGTTTTTTAGTTTTCGGTGGACACAACATCTTTGTTTGTATGTGGTGCTAAGGATCGAACCCAGGCCGCACGCATGCCAGGCGAGTGCGCTACCGCTTGAGCCACATCCCTAGCCCGGTCACATAAATTTTAATATGCCCTTGTAGAAAATTATCATCATGCTTTGTAAATCAATAGATTTTTAGTTTAATATTCCAACTTCAGCAGGAGGTATATAGTCTGACCAGGTGTGTGGAGGAACCATATAGCTGGTGGATAAACTCGTCTGTATAATTTTGAACCAGAATACTATAAATGAAATTGGATTTTTTAATACAACTGCTCAGGAGAAATATAATTTGGGAAGTGTGCAAAATATTATAAAACCTGTTCATTAGACTATCTCTAATACTTAGTATAAAAGGCATATTTTAAGATCTATGAAGGATTCTTTTAGAGCTGCAGGGGTGGTTTGCTAGCTAGAGACCAGTAAATTGGCATTTTTGAAAGAGATTGTACGTTTTTGATTGTTGACATTAGCTAGTGCAAGAAAATGGAAAGAAATGATGAAGATTCTCGTAGTATTTTAAAATAACAAGTCATGTTGGGTATGGTGGTGCAGGCCTATAATCCCAGCAACTCAGGAAGCTGAAACAGGAGGATCACAAGTTTGAGGATCACAAGCCAGCCTCAGCAATTTAGCAGGCCTGAGCCAGGGATGCAGCTTAGTGGTAAAGAGCCCCTGGGTTAAATTGCCAGTTAAATAAATAAATAAATAACTCTATTATAATTTAGATTTGACTGTTAATGAATCCAGAACTATTACTAAGGATTGTTAAAAATGCACTCAAAGCAACAGAGAGACATACTGAGATAACTATTTCAATGCCTAAAGCTTTGTTTCTGAGTATTTACAATGCACTATTCAAATCTCTATTGAATATTTTTAATTAGTTTTTTCCTTTTTTTTTGGTACTGAGGATTTAACTTGGATGTTTTACCACTGAGCTATATCTGCAGCCCATTTTATTTTTTTAGTTTGAAACAGGGTTTCACTAAATTGCTGAGGCTGGCTGGAATTTGGGATCCTCCTGTCCTAGCCGCCCCAATAGCTGAGATTATAGTGTGCACCACTGTGCCTGACTTGGATAATTATTTTTTAATAATGAAGATGTTTTATGCTGGGATTGTGGCTCAGCGGTAGAGCGCTTACCTAGCACGGGCAGGACCCGGGTTCAATCCTCAGCACCACATAAAAATAAAGGCATTGTGTTGTGTCCAGCTACACCTAAAAAATAAATGTTAAAAAAAAAAAAAAAAAGATGTTTTGCCTAGAAATACAGATCAACTAAATTGGATTTTTTTTACTGCTTTACTCATCAAAGGAAGGGCTGGGGCTGTAGCTCAATGGCAGAGCGCTTGCCTAGCATGTGTGAGGCACTGGCTTCAATCCTTAGCACTACGTTAAAAAAATAAAATAAAGGCATATTATCCATCTACAACTACAAACTTTTTAATTTTTAAGGAAAAGACATAGGAAAGATAAAACCTAGATTGCAATATTAGGAAGAGTAGAAAAGTATGAACATGAAGAACTCTTGAAAGTGAAGGCCAGTAGATTTGGAAGTAGTGTATGAAAGAGGGTGGAGTCAAAAACCACAAAGAGGAGGCTGGGGACCTAGTTCAGCAGTAGAGTGCTTACCTGGCATCTATGAGGCCCAGAGTTTTATCCCCAGTATCATAAAAGAAAAAAAAAGAAAAAGAAAAACACCAGAGCCAGGCATGATGGCACATACCTGTAATCCCAGCAGCTCAGGAGGCTGAGGCAGGAGGATTGTGAGTTCAAAGCCGCCTCAGCAAAAGTGAGGTGCTAAGCAACTCAGTGAGACCCTGTCTCCAAATAAAATACAAAATAGGGCTGGGGATGTGGCTCAGTGGCTGAGTGCCCCTGAGTTCAATCCCTGATACAAAAAAAAAAAAAAAAAAAAATTTTTTTTTTTTTTTTTTTTGCCTGAGTAAAATCAAGGAATTGGGAGCCAAGATTAGATTATTGAAGTAGTTAAAAAAGAGAAGAAAAAAATTTGATTTTTTAGGTCTGATAATTAAGATCATGAGAAAATAATAAAAGACTTTATTCAAGTCCTCTTCTGGCTTTAGAAAATATCTTAAAGGAAATTTATTTGGTCTTACCCTGCATGTATCAAAGCTTCCATTTTCATCACCTGCACAAAATGAAGTGTTAGGAATTACTCCCCGATAACTCCACTCAGAATTACAAATTGTTCGAGAAATATAATGTACTTCTGCTTCCTGTAAAGTATTTGTACCATTACCTGTTAATGAAAAAAGAAATATATTTTTTTTGGTTCAGGCACTTTTATAATGATTTAAATGCTGCTGTTTAATAGCTCCTCTTTTCAAACCGACTTTTTAAAAAATTATGTAAAATTTTATCTCTATCTCATCACTGTCCATTTCCATAATCCTCCCCAGCTGCTAACAACTACAAATCTACTTTCTGACTCTATTATTTTCACATTTGGGACATTTCATTATATGAATGGAATCATTGGATACATGATCTTTTATGTCTGGCTTATTTCACTTACCATAATGTTATAGTATGTATTGGTATTTTATTCCTTCTTATGGTTTTATTTCATGATCTATTATCTAAATATACCTTATTTTGCTTATGCATTCATCACTTGATGTACCTTTAGAGTTTTTTCCCATGTTTAACTATTATGGATAATGCTGCTGTGAACATTTATGTACAGGATTTTGTATGGATATACATACTTATTGGATATTTATGTAAAAGCTGAATTTCTTTTCTTTCTTCCTTTCTTTCTTTTTTGGGGGGGGGGGAGCTTCCAAACAGTATTCCAAAGTAGCTGTATCATTTTGTATTCCAACCAGCAATGTATAAGGGTTGCAGTTTCTTCGTGGTGCTTGTTATTTTCCAGGTTTTTTTTTTATTATTATTATAGTTATCCTTGTAGCTGTTACATCTGTTGATTTCTAAAATTACATTGTCTAATTTTTGCTAATGTATAGAAATGAAATGGACTTTTGTGTATGAACCTGGCTACTTTATTACACTGTTAATTCCAATGGATTTTAGGTTCTGTTTTAGTATAATCACGTTGTCTGTGATTAGTGAATATCTTATTTCCTTTCTTAGTTATGTGTCTTTTGTATCTTTATTGCAGTGCTATTGTACTTGTTAGAAATTCTCCTCCAGTATTATATAAAATTGGTAATGGGTTGTAGCTCAGTGGCAGAGTGCTTGCCTAGAATGTGTGAGTTACTGGGTTTGATCCTCAGCACCACATATAAATAAATAAAATAGGGCTGGGGTTGTGGCTCAGCGGTGGAGCGCTCACCTAGCATGCGCAAGACCCTGGGTTTGATCCTCAGCACCACATAAAAATAAGTAAACAAAGTAAAGGTATTATGTACAACTAATAATAATAATAATAAATATAAATATAAATAAGTAAACAATAAAGGTTAAAAAATATTATGGTAGGCCTCATGTTTTGAGTTCTAGTGTTTTATTTTATAAAAAGAAATTTAATTACTGATTCTATTCCTTTACCCTTATGGAACTATAGAGGATATCCCTTTCTTACTTAGTCAGTTTTGCTAATTATAGTTTTGGTTATTACAAAAGAATTTGTCCATTATATTTAAGTGTAATTCATGTGCCCCACAACATCATTTTGGTCATCTATGGACTACATGATGGTGGTCCAATCAGCTTATATTATCTATTATGGTTGTAGCCATCTTTGTGTAAGTATACTCTGTGATATTTGTATAGTGTAGAAATTGCCTAATAAAGCATTTCTCAGAACATATCCCTGTCATCAAGTGATGCATAACTGCATTAAAATTTAGAGCATAATACTGTGAAAAGTTTTGTGGACTGGAGATATAATTCAGTGATAGAACACTTGCCTCGTATACACTGAGTTTGATCCCCATTGCCATAAAAAAATTAAAAACCATTATGTTGGGCTGGGGATATGGATCAAGCAGTAGCGCGCTCGCCTGGCATGCGTGCGGCCCGGGTTCAATCCTCAGCACCACATACAAACAAAGATGTTGTGTCCACCGAAAACTAAAAAATAAATATTAAAAAAAATTATCTCTCTCTCTCTTTAAAAAAAAACCATTATGTTATCTTTTAATTCATAATTTTATTTATATTTGCGACTTTTCTCCATATTTTCATCAGTCTTACCAGTGACTTCTTATTTCAGAGAAGTAGAATTTGGGTTGGGAATGTGGCTTAGAAGTAGAATGGTTACCTAGCATGCATGAAGCACTGGGTTCAATCCCCAGCACAACAACAAATCACCATCAAAAAACTAGAATTTGGTCTTGTTCAATCTCTCTTTTCTGTCTTTATTTTCTGTTTTGTTAGTTGCTGTGTTTATTTCTTCTGCGGGATTATTATAATATTTTTAAAAACTGCTTTAAAGTTAGGTATTTAATTAATAATTTTTTTCAGACAATTCTTTCCTATTAGGTCAAATATTTGCTTTTCCATATATTTCAACCTACATATTACCTTGGTTGCAGTCCCCAAATTGTGCTCTGCAGTATATACATATCTATTCCAGTATATACATAACTGTTCTGTTTTAAATATTTAAAGTGATTTTCTTTTTGACATATGAGTTTAATAGTGTTTTAAATTCTCCAAATGTATGGCTTTTTAAAACTTACATTTTGTCATTTTTTACAAATTTGTTAGTGTTTAATTTATTTAACACAAAAACCACACATTGTAAGCATGCCATTCAGAGATTTCTGGTAATTCATTATGAGCACTAAAACCTAGTTTTAAACTATTTCATTCTCAAAGAGACTTCCTGTGCCCACTTCCAGTCATTTCTCAGCTCCATCCCCACATTTAATTTTTTTGGTTTTGTTTCGTTTTGTTTTTGCAGTGCTGTGACTCAAACTCAACACCTCACACATGGTAGGCAAATGCTCTGCTACTGAACTACATCCCCAACCCCAACTCCACGCTTTGGAAATAGCCGATTTCTGTCTCTGTTGGTTTGCATTTTCAAGAAATTTTGTACAAATGAAATAACAAAATTTGTAATCTTTTATATATGGTATCCTTCATATGTTTTAAGTTCATCTGCATTGTAGTATGTATCCATAAAAAGTTTTTTTTCCTTTTTATTGTTGAATAGTGTTTTGTTGAATGGATATATCATATTTTATATATCTGTTTATCTATTTGATGGATATTGGATTGTTTCCAGTGTTTGGTGTTATGGATAATACTGCTGTGAGAATTCATAGAGGTTTTTGTATAGACATGTTTCAATTCCCTTTGATAGATACCTAGGAATGGAATTTCTGGGTTGTGTGGTAGCTATGCTTAATATGGTAGATACACGTTAAGCTTTTTAATAACTACCAAACTGTTTTTGTTAGCTGCTTTGCCATTTTAACCCCCACTTTCCCAGAAATATAGAAGGGTTCCAGTTTCTCTACATCCTTCTCAACACTTGGTATTGTCCATTTTTTAGATTACAACCATTCTGGTAAATGAATAGTAGTAGCTTATTGTGGTTTCAATGATGTTAACATCTTTTCATGTACTATTAACCATTTGTATGCCCACTTTGGTGAAATGTCTTTTAAATCATTAGCCTGTTTCAAAAATTATTTATTATCTAAGTACTGAGTTGTAAAAGTTCTTTATATTTTCTGATATAATTCTTTTATCAGAGTTATGAGTTTTCTTCTCTTCATCTGAAGCTTACCATTTAATTTCCTTAATAGTTTTCTTTTGAATAGCATGCATTTTAAAATTGTAATGAGGTCCAGTTTATCATATTTCCTTTTATGGATGAATTGTACTTTTGGTGTCCTAAGAGATCGTGACCTAACTGAAGGTTTCAAAGCTTTTCTTTTATGCTTTCTTCTAGGAATCTTATAGTTTTAGCTCTTACATTTAGGTCTATTGTCCATTTTGAGTTTATAATTTGTCTTAGTACATTTGAGTTGCTATAGTAAAATATCATGAACTATGTAGTTTGTAAACAATATAAATTTATTTCTCACAGCTCAGGATGTCAGGAAATTGAAGATCAAGGCACTGGCAGATTTGGTGGCTAGCAAGGGCTGCTTTTTGGCTTATAGGTGATGCCTTCTAGCTATGTCCTCATGTTGTGGGAGAGCAAGGCAGCTCTTTGAGACCTGTTTTATAAGGGTAATAATCCCATTCCTGAGAGTTCTGCCCTCCATAAAGGTCTCCATCTTCTAATGCCCTCATCTGGGGGTTAGGATTTCAACCTAGGAATTTGGAGTGGACACAAACATTCAGACTATTGTATTATTCTTTTTTGTAGGGGAGGGGTACTGGGGATTGAACTCAGGGATACTCAACCATTGAGCCACATCCCTAGCCCTATTTTGTATTTTATTTAGAGACAGGGTCTCACTGAGTTGCTTAGCATCTCATCTTGCTAGGCTGGCTTTGAACTCTCGATCTTCCTGCCTCATCTTCCTGAGCTGCTGGGATTATAAGTATGTGCCACCATGCCCAGCCCATATTATTGTATTATCGAATATAGTATAAGGAGATTTTTGTGTGTGTGTTTTGTTTTTGCACATGAATATTCATTTGTCCAGTATATTTTTTGAAAAGATTATTTATCTTTAGCTGGGTACAGTGGTTCATACTGCTAATACTGGCTACTCTGTAGGCTAAGGAAGGATTATAAATTCTAGGCCAGCCTGAGCAACTTAGCAAGGCCCTTTTTTTGTCACTGTGACCAAATTACCTGACACAAACAACTGAGGAAAGTTTTTTTTGGCTCATGACTTCAAAGATTCAGTCCATGGTTGGCCAAGTCCATTGCTCTGAGCCCAAGGTGAGGCAGAATATCATGATGCAAGGGCATGGTGAAGAGAAGTTGCTCCTGCCAAGTGGCCAGGAAGCTGAGAGGGAGAATAGAGGAAGAGGCCACAGAGAAGATGAACCCTCTTAGGGTATATCCCCAGTGACCCACCTCTTCCAGCCACACCTCACCTGCTTACAGTTACCACCCCGTCCATTCAAACTAGGACAGACAGTTAGGTTACAGTTCTCACAATCTCACAAATTAAATCACATTTAATTTCCAAACATTCTTGCTTTAACACTGGAGCTTTTGGAGAACACCTTATATCCAAACCATAACATTCCACATTGGTCCCCAAAAGCTCTTGTCCATCTCACAAGGCAAAATGTATTTACTTATCTCCAAGATTCCCATTTTTTTGACCATTCCAGCATTGCTCAAAAGTTCAATAC